TATTTAGCAATTTCTTATCCCAAATTACCTTTAAACATGTAAGTTGTGTTCTTTTAATTTTTTTTGTGATCACCAAAAATCTTTATTTTAAGAGCCCATTCGATTGATTTGGAAAATTTTTTTACAGACAAATTGGCGCCTGATATCCGCCATTTTACTTTTTAACTATTTTTAATTTTTAACTATAACGCGAGTATTATAGGCTATATATAGCTTATGACACTAGCGTAAATACGAAACTAAAAAACACCTAAATACGGTTACGTTCTGGGCCCATAACCTATTAGGACTTTTTGGAATAATAATGCAGATTTTACACAATGAATTTTTATTTAAATGAAGCTCACCAAAGTACAAACGCACGGCGTCCACCATTACATAATGTCAAGAACAGAGTTGCCAGTGTTACAAATCAAAAAAAGTGTTGCCTTACATAATAGGTACCTACAGCATATTTAACAAACTATTTTAAAAACTTTTAATTTCATTTAATTATAGATACAATATTTTATATTAATTGATTAAAACAACACAACTCACTGTACATTTTTTTTACACCACAAGCTTAACAATAACATGTTTCAATTATGGCGACTTAGCGCCGGATAAAAAAAGAGGTGTTTTTTATACTTGAATTCTAAGAGCATTGAAGATCAAGAGATTTAGGATAATCATTTATATTATAGTTTAGTCCACGTACGTTATACTGACAAAGTTTGAGTTCTTATAACTATTTAGTTTACGAGAATTGAACAATAAACAAAACACTAGAAAATAAGTGCTAAAAAATGTCATCTCAAACTTTGGATCGCAGAGCAAATTCTGTTTAAATTTTCTTTAAAATATATTTATACCTTACAATTAAGTGATATTTCAAAATGAAAAATATAATAAAAAGACATGTTGCCTTATTAAAATATTTCAGAAATCAATTCTGTAAACTAACAATTTTACTATAAGAATTACAAGGGACAGCTAAAAAAGTATGGATACGACCAATTCCATCACATCTGAACAGATTATGTTATGGAAATAAAATGATAATAAAACATCAATTCAAAATAAAACAACTTTAAATATTAATTCGGAGAGGAATTATTTTTTTTCTACTGTTTTTAACCTCCGACGCAAAAACTACGGGGAGTTATTTGTTTGACGTGCTGTGTGTTGTGTGTGTGTCTGTCTGTGGTATGGTAGCTCCCGAAGAGATCATCCGATTTTGTTATTGTTTTTTCTCTGAAAGGTGAATAATTCGGAAGTGTTCTTAGCTATGTTTGATGAAAATCGGTCCAAGATGGCCGCCGCCACAAAATAGCGGCTTACATATTTTTTCACAACTCCCTCAATATGGGTATCAAATGAATTAGCCTTGACTAGTATAATTTTCGAATCCAAGATGGTCGCCACCACAAAATGGTGAATTACATGTCGGGGTTACTTTTAAAATTTTCATTAATATTTTATAAGATTGTAGTATTGTGCCAGTTACTGTATTGAGTATTTGATGGACTCCATAGTTATAGTAGTAAAAAAAATATAGTAGAGTATAAAAACTTTGTAATTAGTACTCACAGATGTTTTAAATCTGAAGTAGAAAATTTTGGATGCCTTTTGTTAGGTAAAGGACACTTTTTAATAATTATTGCTTGCAGGTAGAGGCTTTTATACATATTTATTTTAAATGAAAAAAAAAAAGATGAACACCTATCCTAAAAGCAACAAATACTAATTATTACTAAGTAAAGATACATAAGTAACTATACTAACCTCCTCCCATATAATGTTCACCACGTCTTCGATGTTCAGTCACGTCGTCGAAACGAATAAAGGCGTGGTATAATATATAAATCAGATATTTTCGAAGTCAGTTCCAGCCGATGCAAAGTAAATCTAATATACCTATTTCGATACATAAAATTCATATTTACGTATTAGATATTCATATCTTAAAATATTGTCGGCTGGCACCGACTTCGAAAATATCTGATTAAGGTATCTATTCTAAATGAAAACCTCCGTTTAGCTATTTTTTACATTTTAGTGCCTGGAAGTCGGTTTTTTTTAATAAACAGTTATTTATACTACACCCTTGTTCGCTTTCGCTCTATGGGGTACATTGCCTACAATTGGTCTTTCTTGTTCACCCTCCAATCATAATATTGTAATCTAATAAGGCATGTTTTAAGCAATTTTGGTGCAGCTTCAATAAACATAAAATGCAACATGATACTAGTTTAAGAGATGCAAATAAACTTATTTTTTCCCCGACTGCGCGACGCAAAGGAGGGTAATGTGTTTATCAGACTATGTATGTATGTATGTACATATGTATGTATGACACTCTAGAGACCAAACGCGTGGGCCGATTTCTATGATTCATATGTCGTTAGTTTCGTATTTACGCTAGTGTCATAAGCTATATATAGCCTATAATACTCGCGTTATAGTTAAAAATTAAAAATAGTTAAAAAGTAAAATGGCGGATATCAGGCGCCAATTTGTCTGTAAAAAAATTTTCCAAATCAATCGAATGGGCTCTTAAAATAAAGATTTTTTTTGTGATCACCAAAAATCTTTATTTTAAGAGCCCATTCGATTGATTTGGAAAATTTTTTTACAGACAAATTGGCGCCTGATATCCGCCATTTTACTTTTTAACTATTTTTAATTTTTAACTATAACGCGAGTATTATAGGCTATATATAGCTTATGACACTAGCGTAAATACGAAACTAACGACATATGAATCATAGAAATCGGCCCACGCGTTTGGTCTCTAGAGTGTCATACATACATATGTACATACATACATACATAGTCTGATAAACACATTACCCTCCTTTGCGTCGCGCAGTCGGGGAAAAAATAAGTTTATTTGCATCTCTTAAACTAGTATCATGTTGCATTTTATGTTTATTGAAGCTGCACCAAAATTGCTTAAAACATGCCTTATTAGATTACAATATTATGATTGGAGGGTGAACAAGAAAGACCAATTGTAGGCAATGTACCCCATAGAGCGAAAGCGAACAAGGGTGTAGTATAAATAACTGTTTATTAAAAAAAACCGACTTCCAGGCACTAAAATGTAAAAAATAGCTAAACGGAGGTTTTCATTTAGAATAGATACCTTAATCAGATATTTTCGAAGTCGGTGCCAGCCGACAATATTTTAAGATATGAATATCTAATACGTAAATATGAATTTTATGTATCGAAATAGGTATATTAGATTTACTTTGCATCGGCTGGAACTGACTTCGAAAATATCTGATTTATATATTATACCACGCCTTTATTCGTTTCGACGACGTGACTGAACATCGAAGACGTGGTGAACATTATATGGGAGGAGGTTAGTATAGTTACTTATGTATCTTTACTTAGTAATAATTAGTATTTGTTGCTTTTAGGATAGGTGTTCATCTTTTTTTTTTTCATTTAAAATAAATATGTATAAAAGCCTCTACCTGCAAGCAATAATTATTAAAAAGTGTCCTTTACCTAACAAAAGGCATCCAAAATTTTCTACTTCAGATTTAAAACATCTGTGAGTACTAATTACAAAGTTTTTATACTCTACTATATTTTTTTTACTACTATAACTATGGAGTCCATCAAATACTCAATACAGTAACTGGCACAATACTACAATCTTATAAAATATTAATGAAAATTTTAAAAGTAACCCCGACATGTAATTCACCATTTTGTGGTGGCGACCATCTTGGATTCGAAAATTATACTAGTCAAGGCTAATTCATTTGATACCCATATTGAGGGAGTTGTGAAAAAATATGTAAGCCGCTATTTTGTGGCGGCGGCCATCTTGGACCGATTTTCATCAAACATAGCTAAGAACACTTCCGAATTATTCACCTTTCAGAGAAAAAACAATAACAAAATCGGATGATCTCTTCGGGAGCTACCATACCACAGACAGACACACACACAACACACAGCACGTCAAACAAATAACTCCCCGTAGTTTTTGCGTCGGAGGTTAAAAACAGTAGAAAAAAAATAATTCCTCTCCGAATTAATATTTAAAGTTGTTTTATTTTGAATTGATGTTTTATTATCATTTTATTTCCATAACATAATCTGTTCAGATGTGATGGAATTGGTCGTATCCATACTTTTTTAGCTGTCCCTTGTAATTCTTATAGTAAAATTGTTAGTTTACAGAATTGATTTCTGAAATATTTTAATAAGGCAACATGTCTTTTTATTATATTTTTCATTTTGAAATATCACTTAATTGTAAGGTATAAATATATTTTAAAGAAAATTTAAACAGAATTTGCTCTGCGATCCAAAGTTTGAGATGACATTTTTTAGCACTTATTTTCTAGTGTTTTGTTTATTGTTCAATTCTCGTAAACTAAATAGTTATAAGAACTCAAACTTTGTCAGTATAACGTACGTGGACTAAACTATAATATAAATGATTATCCTAAATCTCTTGATCTTCAATGCTCTTAGAATTCAAGTATAAAAAACACCTCTTTTTTTATCCGGCGCTAAGTCGCCATAATTGAAACATGTTATTGTTAAGCTTGTGGTGTAAAAAAAATGTACAGTGAGTTGTGTTGTTTTAATCAATTAATATAAAATATTGTATCTATAATTAAATGAAATTAAAAGTTTTTAAAATAGTTTGTTAAATATGCTGTAGGTACCTATTATGTAAGGCAACACTTTTTTTGATTTGTAACACTGGCAACTCTGTTCTTGACATTATGTAATGGTGGACGCCGTGCGTTTGTACTTTGGTGAGCTTCATTTAAATAAAAATTCATTGTGTAAAATCTGCATTATTATTCCAAAAAGTCCTAATAGGTTATGGGCCCAGAACGTAACCGTATTTAGGTGAAGATATTCTTGGAATTGTACGGCAGGAGCTTGGTCGGGTGTCGACAAGCAAGAAGGAACGTGGTGGCGGCCGGAAATATTGGCGTCGCTCGTTTGTTTTGTCACTGTGAGACAAAAATAACACAATGGAAAAGCTCGGCGTAGTGCAGCTGGAAGGAGCGAGGAATTGGAGTGTCTGGCGATTCCAGATGACCGTGATTTTGCGGGATCAAGGATTGTACAAAATTGTCTCGAGTCCTAATGTCAAACATGGCGGTGCGGCGGAAACTACAAAGACCGGTCAGGCGTCGGCGGAGCCCGAGCAGGCGTCGGTAGAGAAGGACATAAAGGCGATGAGTGCAATTGTGACAAGATTGGCGGAACCAGTTCTACATCACGTAATTACTTGTCAAACAGCGCACGAAGTGTGGAGTCGGCTACACAGTATTTATGAAAAAAGTGGAGAAACTTCACTGATGCTACAACAACAACGATTCTTTGCCCTAAAATTTGAAGATGACATGAGTGTCGCGGACTTCATCTCCAAAGTGCAGGAGCAGCAGCAGACCTTGAAACGACTAGGAGAAGCGGTAACCGACAGGATGGTTATGTCGAAGATCATCATGTCACTTCCACTGAAGTATGCTCACTTTGTTAGTGCTTGGGAATCGTGTGCAGAAGAAAAACAGACTATGGACAACTTAACGGCACGGCTCTTGGTAGAAGAAGAACGGCTTAATAATAAGTGTAGTAGTAAGGCAGAAGAAAGTGTAGCATTGTTTTCTAAAGGTCAAAAAGGTACAAATAAAGGTAATTTTAAATGTTTTTTATGTCACAAGCCAGGTCATTTAAAGAAAGATTGTAAGCTTAAAAATGTTTGTTTTAAATGTAACAAGCCAGGTCATTTTAAGGATAAATGTAAAGCTAGTAAAAATGATAAGAAAGATAAAGAAAATAGTGACACAGGTAATAAGAAAACTGAAAGTGCTTTTGTATCTACAGTGCTAGTTAGTGCAAGTGATCGATCAATAGATGAAAAATGGTTAGTAGATAGCGGTGCTAGTCACCATATGACATATCAGAAGGAATTATTTTGTGAATATGAAAAATTATCTACTCCTAAAGTTGTTATTATAGGCGATGGACGAAAGCTAAATGCTTAGGTATAGGAAAAGTAAAAATAATGGCATTTGATGGTGAAGAATATGTCTGTTGCTCAATAAACAATGTTTTGCATGTTCCTAAATTAAAAATTAATCTATTTTCTGTAGGTAGTGTGGTATGCAATGGTTTTCATGTTAGTATGACAAATGACAAGTGTGTATTTTCAAAGAATAATAGAGTGTGTGCTATTGCTAATAAGGAATCATGTTCTAAGCTGTATGTAATGGATTTTAAGTCAGAGTCTTTGCAGGCTAATGTAGCTAAAGTTGAGTTAAGCGAGTGGCATGAGAGGTTAGTACATCAGAATTATAAGGAAATAAAAAGCATTTTAAAGAAAAATAATATTGATTATAGTGAATCACCAATAGACACATGTACAGCTTGTGTAAAAGGTAAACAGCATAGATTACCATTTGATAGCAGTAGAAGTACTACAAGTAAGACAGGCGAGTTGGTGCATGCTGATTTGTGTGGACCGATGGAAGAAAAGTCAATAGGAGGGTCAAGGTATTTTCTTTTATTAAAGGATGATTTCTCAAACTATAGGACAATTTATTTCTTAACTTACAAGTCGGAAACTGTTGAAAAGATTAAAGAATTTATTATGAAGGCAAAAACATTAAATAATACAGTTTGTACACTTCGCACTGATAATGGGACTGAATTTGTGAATGCAGAAATGAAAACTTTATTAGCAGAGCATGGAGTGACACATGAGACTACAGTAACTTATTGTCCAGAGCAAAATGGAAAAGCTGAAAGGGATATGAGGACTTTAGTTGAAGGAGCAAGAACTTTGTTGCATGCAAAAAGAATGGACAAAGTATTCTGGGCTGAAGCTATTAACACAGTTGTGTACACTCTGAATAGAACTTACCATAGCAAAGAAGAAGGAAAACACCTTATGAGTCATGGTCAGGGAAGAAGTTTGATGTAAATGGTCTATATATATTTGGCAGTGAAGTCTTTGTGTACATACCGAAAGAAAAAAGAAGGAAATTCGATGCAAAAGGAGAAAAAGGTATTTTTGTAGGTTACGGAGAATACACTAAAGGGTTTAGGATCTATTTTCCAGAGAAAAATGCAGTGGAAATAGTGAGAGATGTTACGTTTGTGAAGAAACATGATAAACCTGAAAGAGAAGAGCAGGAAGAAAAGTGTATATATTTAGATATAGAAGAAAACCTGAACAATGAAGAATACCAGTCTGAGTCGGATACTGAAGGAAGTGTAGAATTCGAGGATTGTCAGGTCAATGACAATATGATGCAAGAAGTGGAATTTCTAGAAGAGGAAATTTTAGAGCATGAAGAAATTCAAGAAGTAAATGAAAGTATGCCAGTAAATTTAGAAAATACTAGAAGAACACGCTCTAGAAAAGCACCTAACTGGTTTCATGACTATGAAGTTGGTTTTATAAGCGTGCATAATGAACCTAGTACTTTAAAAGAAGCCATGGAATGCGAAGACAAAGAAAATTGGATAGAAGCTATGAACAGAGAAATAACTACATTGAAAGAAAACAATACATGGACTGAAGTAGCGATGCTGCCCAAGGGGATAAAGGCAATAAACAGTAAATGGGTGTTCAGAATAAAAGAAAATCCTAGCCAAGAAATTCAATACAAGGCCCGATTAGTTGCTAGGGGATTTGAGCAGACTGATATGGATGGTGCAGAAGTTTATGCCCCCGTTGCGAGTTTGACTACTTTCCGTACAATGTTAGCTGTGGCAGCCAGAAAGAAACTTCCAGTATACCAAATGGATGTAACAGGAGCCTTTCTTTATGGTGACATTGATGAACCTGTATACATGAAACTACCTAATGGAGGAATAGGTAAATTAAATAAGTCAATATATGGATTGAAGAAAAGTCCCAAGTACTGGAATAGAAAGTTTAATGATTTTATGTGTAGTGATGGTTTCATAAAATCCAAGAACGACCCATGTTTATATTTTAAATGTTGTAAGGAGTATTCCATTTATGTGCTAATTTTTGTCGATGATTTGCTATATTTTAGTGATAGTGACACACAGATCAGAAAGTTTAAGGAGAAGTTGTGTAAGAACTTTGCTTTGAAAGATTTAGGTATGGCTTGTAATTATTTAGGAATTAGCATTGAACAGGATATAGAAAATGGAAAGACTGTTATAAATCAGAAGGAGTATTTGTTAAAAGTATTAAGAAAGTATGGGATGTCTGATTGTAAAGCTTGTAACATACCCATTGATCAGAATTTTAAGTTTGAATTGTTAAGAAGGGAAAATTCAGAAAGTAAAGAAATCGAATTTAAATGTAGGCAGATAATTGGAAATTTACTGTATGCTTCTAATGCTACAAGGCCTGATTTGTGTGTAGCGATTGGTTTCTTAAGTAGATATCAGCACTGTGCTAGTATGTTGCTATTGAAATGTTTACAGCGTGTTTTGAGATATGTGAAAGGTACAGTAGATTTGTCATTGATGTATGATTGTAATGGTAATGATAAATTGGAGGGTTATGTTGATGCTGATTGGGGTGGAGATATAACAGATAGGAAATCTACTTCAGGATATATATTTAAAGTATTTGATTGTGTAATATCTTGGTGTACTAAAAAGCAATTATGTGTATCTTTATCATCAACCGAGGCAGAATATGTAGCACTATGTTTAGGTATTGTTGAGTCATGTTGGTTAAAAAGCTTGTTATTAGATTTTGGATTTAAATTAAAAGTAAATATTTATGAGGATAATCAGAGTGTAATAAAAATAGCAGAAAACAACTTCAGTAATAAGAGGCTTAAGCATATTGATGTTAAATATCATTTTATCATAGAAAAATAAATGATGGTTGTGTAAGTCTATCCTATGTTAGTAGTAGTGATAATCTTGGTGATGTGTTTACTAAGACTTTAGGAAGACAATTGTATGTAAAACTTAGAAGTAAGATTTTAAAATAAGTTTTCCATCTAGAGGTGATTTTATTTTGTGTTGTGTCAGAATTGTTTTGTTTTTAATACTGAATTTGTTAAGTAGATGTTTGTATTTTATTTTGTAAAGGCCAGTGTGTCATTGTGTTATTAAGGGGTAGTTTTTCTTCTTAATGTTGTTAAGGGCTAGACATGTAGTGATATATTAGTTTATGTAAGTTTTTAATCAAAAGTTAAGTGTTGAGGGGGTGTGTTAAATATGCTGTAGGTACCTATTATGTAAGGCAACACTTATTTTGATTTGTAACACTGGCAACTCTGTTCTTGACATTATGTAATGGTGGACGCCGTGCGTTTGTACTTTGGTGAGCTTCATTTAAATAAAAATTCATTGTGTAAAATCTGCATTATTATTCCAAAAAGTCCTAATATAGTTTTATTTAATAATAATTCCTGTTTTCATACTATATACTGATAAAAAATCACTTACAGTAATTTCAACTTAGAATTAACTATATAATATTAAATACAATTGATCTTATTTATATATATATTCTTAGTTTATTTTAAAACGATTCTAACGATATAAGCTTTATATATAGCTTATATATAAAATTTTAATAAATATTGTTATTTTAATGATGCGTACATATTTCGCGCAGGCCCTCGAAAAGTAGCCGACAGATGCGCCATATTTTTGTAAAATGACAGCGACAGTTGAGGGGATAATGGATCTCGAGAGAGAGTTATATTTTTTTTAATTTATAGTCAAACATAAGTTTGGCATCAACGATAATCTTAAATATTTGTCTTTGAGAGAGAGAGACTTCAAAAATCTTTACTAATTACAGATAAAAAGCTATAGCCGGATAAATATAGCGAACCGGCCCCCTAATGACAACATATCGAAACTTATGTGTCAATAAGGGCTTGATGTAGAAAAACGATTCATATTATGAGTTTCACTGCCGTACTCCACTTTGACCTTGAGAAATGAAGAAAAATGAGCGTAACTATGAGTTTCGTTCAAAAGGGCATATCTCGGAAACCTTTAAAGCTAGAAACTTAAAATTAACGCAAGGTTTTAGGTAACCTTTCAGAACATGTTATATATATTTTTTTAGATTTTTAAAATAATTACAACACTTTTTAAGAAAATAAATAAAAATAAATAATTATTATTTCAGTGTTCCCTGAGACTTACAATCACAAAAAAATATGTTATAGTATTTAATATACACTAGTACTTATTAAAAAATCGTTTGAAAAAAATTGGTGCAATAAAAAAAACTCGACGCGCACTAAATATAACAAAGAACAAGAACGTCACAATGACACATATTATGCGTATAAAAACACTTTATCGATTATCTATAGTACATATAATAAAATTGTAACTAAAGCCGAATCTGTACATTAAATATTTTTTGGAAAATCTTATTGAAATAGACATTATTATCGATACAGAGACCGAATCTATAGTTTTTAGAATTTTTGTCTGTCTGCCTGTCTGTCTGTCTGTCTGTATGTACCACTGAAGGGATTTTGATGAAATTTGGTATGGTGATAGCTGGTTATCCGGGTCAACATATAGGATACTTTTTACCGCGGGAAAAGATCTCATTTCTGTGAAAAAATACAAAAACTGCATTGTAGGAGTATACTAATGTGTAAAACCTAAGAATTTGGTTTTTGGTCATCTGAATGCGGGCGGAGCCGCGGGCAATGCTAGTATTTTAATATATTTCTTAACCTCAGACCTTAGAGTATACATAAGCTATAGAGCGCCCGTAAGCAAGTATGAACTGTTGGCACATGTATGAACAGTCTCCAAATGTCAAGGGCGACGCTATTTATTAGTCATGAAAAGACATGCGCGCTGATTGTTTCTCTCGTCCATAATGTATTTATGAAGTGAAAATAATATTTTTCTTTTTATTTATTTATTAATATTACCAACAGAAAAAGCAAAAATAATCAAATATAATCTGTTGTCATTTAAGCGGTAATATAAAACAAAGTGCAACAGTTTTGCTTTTGTCAAAATGTAAGATCATTTTGTTTGTGTTGTGAAATTATTAAAATATTAAATACAATAAAGCATTAATTGTTGTGAAAATATGTATTGTACATAAAAAAGGATGCGTACTATTCGTTAAAGGTATGTTTATCTGTTGTAATCACTTATTTAGGTAAAGAAATGTATGGAAATGTGTTAGATATGTTATAACTTTAAGTCTCAATAACTTTTTACTCGTACGTTTCCTCCAAATATTTTTAATATATTTTGACTCTCTGTCACCTCCCCTATCTAAAAATACCACCCACTCCGAATGGTGGTAAAGAAATATATGAAAATGTATGGAAATGTTGTAACTTTAAGTCTCAATAACTTTTTACTCGTACGTTTCCGGAAAAATTTTTATTTAACATTTCGACTCCCTATCACGTCCCCTATACAGAAATACCACCCACTCTGCCAGGGGCCGCGTCCCCTATTCTAAAGTTGTGCCTGTATCAATATTCAATAGGTGTGTATAGAACATCTGCTTACGTTTCGCATAATGGACAATGAGCGATACGCGCGCTCTATAACATACATATTATGTATACTCTAAGCCTCAGACTGAATGTTGATAGGCGATACGTGTGGCGCTCTCCTTTCGAGAAATCTTCCCCATTCAATCACTGATTATTAAAAATATTACTTATATCGTATAATCTCTCACTCATTGTGATACCCAATACAAATAGAAAGGAACTACAATTGTCAGATAACTATCTATTATTAATTCTTGTAAGTCACCAAGGTTATCCAAGTTATCCAATAGTTTTGGAGAAATATGAGATTTACTGAAAAAGAAACTGCTTAGTATATTTTTAAACCAAAATTGTGAAGATAAAATTTGTTTTTGTAATTTAAATAATTAAAAAAAAATTAATCATAATAAATAATTTAAAATATTTTACTGCCAAAATATTTTTTTGCCATAGACTAATAAAACTTTTGTTTGTGGCATCTCATTTCGCGCTATTTATGATGTCAATGTCAACGACATTTGCACTTTGCAAATTTGCAGGTTTGAACTTACATTTTAAAATTAGTTTTTATAAATTAAAATAATGAATATTTACGTGATTCATTTGAAATAAATAATAATAATAATCACAATGCACGTCCGAGTACGCGTCTTCGGCAAACCAGATGCTATAGTAGTGGTTGACTCTAAACTTACAAAGATAGATAAGTTTAGACATTTAATAAAAGATAAATTCAATGTAGAACCAAAATTGCAACGGTTGTTCTACGGGGGAAAATTGGTAAGTTTTATATTTTTGTTACAATTCAATTAGATGTACTTAATATATGATATACTAGCGAACTTTATGATTTCTCTACAATTTATTAATTGCTTAATTTAATATGCATTAAACAAGACAGGGAAAACCTATAATGTAAACTTTCATATCAAATTCTACATTGATATTATTTAACGATTTCTTAAAAACTTCAACACAAGCGAATATTTAGATGTGTATATTCCAGTGACACTAATTTATTTATATCTTGCGAAGGAATTATTTATAATTAAAAACAATAATAAAATAGACTATCAAGATTATTATAAATAATAAGTTAATAAATATACTTAAAATCCTAGTAAACTATGGATTTCTATAAGAATAATATATTTATCTATTCAACATGATGAACTTGCCTATTTATTCATAGTTATAAAGTAATGATACTTTATTATGTTATGTTATTGAAACTTAGTGTATAGATTTCTTGTTTTATGCCAAATGACATAATGTAGTTTTTACTGCCGATATGCTACTATTAAGATGCATTGTCTAGATATTGGTGTAGTTATGAGAAGGTTGCTTAGGTGATACTGTAGTTAGGTCAGCAAATTCTGTATAATCATATAATATTTAGAGCGACTAGGCGATGCTGTGCTTAAGGTATCAATAAGTGTATAAGCTGTTATATTCTCTATCATATTTAATTATAAATTGTTAAGGTGCAATCAGCGACTGTATATTTGACATGTGTACGTTAACATGAAATAGTTGGCAAAGCATGCAATAATATATATTTTACAATAATGATATTTATATAAAACATGTTGAAGGAATTGTTGATTAAAAATGAAAATGATTTATTTGAATTATTCTATGTAGAATGTTTTTATAAAGTATTTTAATGTTTATAATATGTATGTGTGCTCTTCATGGAAAATATATACTCCATAATAATATTATAAATGTGAAAGTGTGTTTGTTTGTTTGCTTGTGTATTTGTCTTTCTTTCACGTCGAAACGAAGTGATGGATTGGCGTGATTTTTGGTGTGAAGATAGTGGGAGAGCTGGAGAGTGATAAATGCTATTTATCGCAGGAGACCATCTCATTCCCATGGTGTAAACATGTTAAAATATAATCCAAAAAAATATTTATGATCAGAATTACTCGAAACTTTGTATTAATGCTTTTCAATACAATTAAATATTTTTCAATATTCATCCTATATGGGGGTAAAATAGGGAATGAAAGTTTGTATGAAACCTAGGCACCTACTTTTTTAAAGATTTTTTGTAGTTTTAGCGCGAGTGAAGCCACGGGTTCTGCTAATAGTATTATAATATATAATTTTAATTGTTTTCATTGGCTATAAATATTTTATTATTATTTTTTTACTTTTACAGTTAGAAAATGGTTATACATTTCACGATTACAATATCAAGCTTAATGATGTTATACAACTAATGGTAAAAGTACAGCCTGTAGAAAGTCATGATGAAGAAAAGACACATAAGAAACAAGAAGCTCAAGAAAAAATTGTAAATGATATAAAAGAAAAACAACAAGTTTATAAAGGTTCACTGAATATATTAATATTTTTTATATGTAAATTATAAAAAAATCTTGATTGAAAGTAGATTTGCAACAATTAGTATATACACCAAATACCAAATATTTGGCGGGCTTTCTGGCTAAATAGCCCAATATTAGGCAGTAGAATTTTCTTAGTGTTAAACTTATGGCTGGAAAACTATACTATACTATATATATAACTATAGTTTTTAGAATTTTTGTCTGTTTGTCTGTCAGTCTGTCTGTTTGTTACCCATTCACAGAAAAACCACTGGATGAATTTTGATGAAATTTAGTATGGTGCTAGCTGGTTATCCGGGGCAACATATAGGATACTTTTAACCGCGGAAAAATATCTCATTTCTGAGAAAAAACACAAAAACTGCAATTTAAGAGTATACTAATATGTAAAGCCTAAGAATTTGTTTTTTGGTCATCTGAACGCGGTCGGTGCCGCGGGCAATGCTAGTAATATATATAGAGGTTGGTTGACATGTTTGGTGACATGGGTTTTTATAAAAGAGAAAGAAATGTTCAAATAATTTTTATGTGAAAAATATATAAATTAATGTTAATTCCTTAGGCTAAGGAAAATGTCATAATGGACTCTTAAATCACTGTTTACTGATGATTGAAACGCATATCAACTATAGTTTATCAAGTTTGTACTGTGTATTCATACATGTTACTAATGTAAATTACATCCATATTATTTTAACTCTATGTGGCACTGTAAACAAAATGATAAATATTTATTAACATACATATGTCATAGGAGCTTTACATAATTAAAACATTACTAAAATCATAAGATAAATTTTATTATATACACATATTCATTTACAATGTAATTTTCAGATACTGAAAGCACATTATATAAGATAGGTGATCTCGTGGATATAAAAGATCGTGAGCATGGTGCATGGTTTGAAGCTAAAATATTAAGAATTGTTCTCGACCCTAATATTATTTATGAGGAAAATACTGACACTAGCTTAGATACAAGTTATATAAATGACAAACAGAGTGATGTAGAAAATAAACCACCAAGCGATACTTCTGAAGATGAAGGTAAAAGTAAGAAAAAGGGTATTGCTAAGTATTTTTCAAAACAGCCCAAAGGAAAAAGACATAAGGATAAAACTGAGGCTGTAAAGATTACTGATGAGAATATTTTGTATAAAGTGCAATTGGATGCTGAGTAAGTATTTTATATGGTCTATTAATATTTCTGATATATACATAATAATAACAAACATTTCACTTTTTGAGGATAACAGCTGAAAAGAGATATGAGGTCAGTGCAACGAAAAGTATTGTGTAAAGCTTTTAGAAGTTTTTTTTCTAGATTATTACCTGTGGCTCTAAATTTTATATACATAATTATAGCATGATTGGCATTTTGTTTACAATATCACTTATTAAATGATTTTATCATTTATTTTTAAATATGAAACTTTAGTGTACAACTAACATTCCTTTCAGTGAAGAAGATTCGGATTTGTACTGCAAATTAAAAGAAATAAGACCTAGAGCTAGGAAAGTGTTGGATATCAAAGATTTAAAACCTGGACAAACTTATATGATTAATCACAACACTGATGATCCTTTAGAGAAAGGATATTGGTAAGCAGTAAAAACACAAGCTGTAGTAAGCTTTAATATTTTTATAAAAAGAAAAATTCTTTTTCTTTGCAACTTCTTTAGTTACCTTTGCAGGCATGTACAAAGTAACCCTCCAGAGTTTCATCACAATCAGATCAATGGTTTAGGAATGCATAGGGGACAAACACTCATTTGTATTTTATACAGGGTCATTTTTAATTCACTGAACGCCTTTTGGGAATATACTATTTACATCATAACAACAACATCTGTAACAAGATAAAATAATATTTCTTAATTTTTATTTTTATACAAAAATAAAAATATTTCTTTTGCACCTTCTAAACTTTAAAGTTCTAGCATCTGGCCAAGTTTAAATGAGTAAGCGCTGCTTCCTACACCCCTCCACCCCTCCCCTCCACCGGACACGCACTTTCCTTTGCTAATGCTGGACTATTACCGTTGAGAAGGTGCAATAAAAATATTTTTATTTTTATTAAATTTAAGATATATTAATTTTTTTTTCTCACAGATGTTGTTGTTATGTTGTAAATAGTGTATTCCCAAAAGATTTTCAGTAAATTAAAAATGACCCTGTATAATAACTAGCGACTCACCCAAGCTTCGTTCGGGTTCGTCCCTAGCTTGCTTCCCTATACACACTTTCATCCCAATTTTTACCCCCTTAAGGGATGATGTCTGGGATAAAAAGTATCCTATGTCCTTCCCAGGGTCTTAAACTATCTTCTTACCAAATTTCATCTAAATCGGTTCAGTACATCCAGAGATTACCCCTACAACATCACAAACTTTACCTTTTTATAATATTAGTATAGATTAATCTATACAGATAAACAAAATTGAAGTGTCTGTTTGTAATGTCAAAATAACAGCTTCTTACTAAATTCATATGAAATGATATACTGTACTTATAAGTAAAACTCAATTTTTAAAAGTTTTGTCTGTCTGTCTGCCTGTTGTCGGTTGTTTGTTGCTCTGTTTGTTCCTGGTTGGACAGATTTTGATGGGGCTTCCACTGGCTGCTGTTTTAGGAAGTAACTTAGGCTAATTTCATTTTAGAAACAGAATTAGTGTTCCTTGTAAAAAAAATGTACCTAGGGACAGCTCTAGTGGTAACCTGGTAATGTAAAACAGGTAGAAGACTAGTGTGAGCGTGATATTAAGTAGGTGTATATTTTTAGTTAAAAATGAATAATTTTTACAACTCTTTCTAAACTAATAGAGGTACAGGTCGTTTTTGTTATAACTGATAGTTACTATTTCTATAGTAATAACAGGTTTAATACCTGTAAAAAATTGAAATATGTCTCATACATTTCATTTCACAGGTATGATTTAAAACTTGATGAGGTGAAGAAATTGAGGATAAATTATGAATTAATTGGCACATTATACCTTGGATCTGATTCAATACCTCAAAATGATACAAAAGTTCGTGTCCATGATAAAATATTTTCTATAGAGAAACCAGTCCCTCTAGCAGAGAGGACTGAAGAGTATAATAAAATAATCGCCCAGGAACCTGAAAAACGTGTGTGATATATTGATTACTTTTTACAAATTCTATTAATGATAGTCAATCAAAAGCATGCTTTTTTAGTTCTTTAAAACCATAGTTATTTCTAGTAGTTTCTCCAGATTTATAACAACCAACAACAAGAACACAACAATGAATAAAAACTTTGTCAATAAAAATCCAAACAAAAAAAAATTTAAATTATTAACATTACCTAAGAACCTGTAAGAAATGCATTTCCAAACAATCTATACTAATATTATAAAGAGGCAGAGTTTGTTTGTTTGTTTGATTATTTGAACGCGCTAATCTCAGGAAGTACTAATCTGATTTAAAAAATTCTTTTTACATTAGATCCCGTTAATTGGAGAAGACTATAATATAATCCATACAATTTTTTTGCACATTGTTGTTAAGTAGATACATCAAGAAAGCATGCAATATATATGTTAGTCTAGAATATAATCCTTTTTTTCTGAATAGTTACAGCGTGGAATAGTAACAAATGCTCAAAATGCGCATTTATAATATTAATATATTACAATTAGTGTATTACAAATAGAGTCTAATTTATTAGGTATGTTTTAACGGTTAGTGTGGAATAGATAGACTATGTATTATAATATTGCTCCACTACCTTATGCAGTAGCATGATGATATATAGCCTATAATCATCCTCACTATTAAACAGGCTATCTAATACAAAAAGAATTTTACATATCAGATTAGCAGTTCCTGAGCTTAGTGCATTCAAATGAACAAACAAACTCTGCCACTTTATAGTATTGACATAGATTCATTTATTTAATGTTTATATTTTTGTCTAGGTTCGCAACCTCTAAACTGTTTGAAATGTCGCGACGATGAGGATGCTCCCTGTAAAGAGTGTGGCTGTTATTTATGTTCTGGAAAGGAGACTCCAGAAAAAGTAATGAATTTGTTATTATTTTTAATGGAAATAATATTTATTAAGGACAAGCAATGAGACCAAGAAAAATAGAACTTTAAATAATAGAATTTTAATAGCTTCAAAAAAGACAAACAATTTTAACTTTATTTTATTTGATCCCCTTGTCAAAAAATAAATTAAATGGTGGACTCTGAATTGACCTCTCTTATGTTGAAAAAAAATAATATGGAAATGAATATTGGTCTATGCATAATCTACGCTCGGGTTCGCCTCTAGACAAACAAGAAGAAATCCCACGGAACCGTACATTTTTCCAGGATAAAAAGTTGTTTGTTGTTCTGATGTATGAACTATATTATTGTGACGTTTCATTAAAATCCAATCAGTAGTTTTTGTGTACTGAGCTGTATAAGTTACTATAGTGTTTTAACTATTCCACGGGAACTCTTTAACTTTTCGGGATGAAATGTATCTAAAATGATGACCGGGGATATAAGGTACTACCATGCAAAATTTTATTTAAATTGGTCAACAGTTTCGGAGATTTGCCCATACAAACAGACAAAGAAACAAAAAAATTGAAATAAATCTGGATTTGTTATATATTTAGGAAAGTTTCGGTCAATGCTACTGAACAGAGAAATAATAGATACATACAGATAGTTTTACAAATGTTCGACGTGATTTTTTAAACTGGCATAACTTTTTTATTTATGAACCGATTGACATGAAACAAACAGTAAATATTAAGTGAAGCTTACCACAATGTATTAATGAAAACCACATCTAAATCGGATAAGCCGTTTCTGAGATTATTGTGCACAAACGCACAGACAAACAGACAAAAATTTTAACAATAATTATTTTCGGTGCTACTTGCGTTGATAAAGGTCCCAATAATATTTTTTCTCATATATCTTCCATGTACAGACAGCAATCCGTTATATTTTTATTATATTATATATACATAACAAATGTACACTTATTAAACTATTTTAATATATATAAATTATTACATTTTAGATAGTGTTATGCGACGAATGTAACAATGGTTTTCATATGAAATGTTTGACTCCTCCACTAACGGAGTTGCCCGAGGAGGATTGGTATTGTCCGTCGTGTAAACGAGACCCCAATGACGTCATCGCGCCGGGCGCCGCCAAACAAACGAAGAAGACCAATGCATCCAAAACTAACAGGGATTGGGGCAGGGGCATGGCATGTGTCGGTGAGTTAGAAATATTATTATAAACACTAGCAGACCTGTTAGACAGTCCTCTGTCCTGCTTCAGATCTCGTTTGGTTAGAGAATACGAAGAATGTGTCAAGATCTCGGGGTACTCAGTCCAAGTATATATGTATTCAAGTACACAAAGAAATTTTTTTTAAATTGATCAAGCTGTTTTCTTAATTCTTAGTTGTGTTGCTGCAATTTTTTTTAAGTTTCTTTGTAAATCCTGTATTCACCATTATATTTAAATGTTGTATTAGTAATACTTTATTGCAATTTTTTTAACATTACAGGTAAACATAAAACGACTTAATATATTTATAGATTTGTGTATGGACAAGTGGCGTCACATATTATCAATATAAAAAAATTATTAAACTCCATGTGGTCGAAAATTAGAATCGTATTAAATATTTACAATTTTATAGGTAAAACCAAGACATGTGCAATGCCCGCGAACCATTTTGGGCCCATTCCTGGCATAGAAGTGGGAATGTGTTGGCGTTTCAGAATACAGGTATATTAAATTAGACATAGTTTCATCATAACAAAATTACATGCCAAAATTAGATACTTTACACTTTTAATGATTATTTTTCTATAAACATGCATTATGTTATTTTTAAATATATGTATTTTATTACTTTTTTATTTATATTTTAATTTATAAACAAATTTAAATACCTTATAAATTATTATTTTAGCTTTCAGAATCTGGAGTGCATAGACCGCCCGTATCTGGTATACATGGACGTGACGTTGAAGGAGCTTATAGCATTGTTTTGTCTGGTTGGTACTACATATTCATAATCTAATATATAAAATTCCCGTGTCATAGTGTTTATAACAAAACTACTCTGAAACGGCTTGTCCGATTCTTATGAAATTCTGTGTATATATTCAGTAGGTCTGAGAATAGGACGTAAAATATTTTTTATACGCCTAAGTGATAAGGGTGGTCCACCCAAAGTTTATTTTTTATTTTTTGGACATTTTTTTTCCTTTTTTTATGATTCAGCATTGAAAATACATACAATTTACAAACCTTCATATTACATACATACAATTTTCACTTTTCTACCACCAACCCCTATTTTTCTACTCGATCGGGTATAACTGATACCCGCCAGGCATCTACCCAAAACGTAAATAAGGACGAACCCGAGCGTAAAATTTAAAATTCTATTATTCTAAAATTTTCTATTTCATCATAAGGTTGATTTATATTGAATCTATGCGTTGATTTTTAATTATTTTTTTATGATCTTTCATATTTGTAATTATTGTGTGGTTTAAATTTTGCCAGTATTGAATCGTTACACCCAATTCATATGTAATACTAGCAACGCATTCGCTTCACTAAGTGCGTCCCCAGGTACGTCTTAATTTTTTTAACGGAACTCTAATTCTTTTTATAAAATAAAAGCAGTCTAAGTTACTCCTTATAACATCAGCTATCTGCCAGTGAATGTCACGCCAAAATCAGTCCAGCCGTTTTAGAGATTAGCCGGAACAGACAGACAGTTACTTTCGCATTTATAATATTAGTTAACATATAATACAGGTGGCTACGAAGACGACGTGGACTACGGCAACGAGTTCACTTACACCGGCAGCGGCGGGCGAGACCTCTCCGGCAATAAGCGCACCGCGGAACAGTCGTGCGACCAAACACTTACCAGGGAAAACAAGTTGGTTTGCTTTTAATTTTTAAATGACTAGAAATTTAAAAACGGTACTCGCTCCGCTTATTTTTTTTTTATAAAAGGGTTTTTTCGGAAAAGTATAAAATTTTGCGTTTATTTAAAAGACACTTTGTATAGATAGACGTGAAAAGTAAAATTTAAATTTAAATTTGAATTAAATGTAATATTAAAATTAAAACTTTAAAAATATTAGAGTTCTTTTAACTTTGACGGCACGTTTGGCTCAGTTTGTAGTGACCCTACTTGCTGTGTCAACGGTCGTGAGGTCGAGTCCCGCTGGGAATATTCATTTGTGTGATGAGCACGAATGCTTGTGTTCCAGTCATGGATGTTTATATTTATAATATGTATTTAAACTTATATACGTGTATTATATCAACTATCTGGTATCCATAACACAAGATATTTAGATGGTGCTGTGTGTTAAAGTAAAAAAATTAATAATATTTATTATTTTTACAAAAGAGCACTAGCCCGCAACTGCGCAGTTAAGGAAGTGAATGAGAAAGGTGCAGATGCAGGTGAAGCATGGAAACAAGGGAAGCCAGTGAGAGTCGTTCGCTCATACAAAATGTTAAAGCATTTCCCCAAATATGCACCTAAGGAAGGGATACGGTAAGATATTTGCTTAAAACATACCCTAAATGGTATTTGAAACCACTTATTTATACCATTGCATGTACTTATATTACATTACACAGCTAACGATATGAATGAATATTATGTTTATATTTCAATAAATCCTATAAAGTATTTTTTGACCAAAGAAAAAATTAGGTTCTCAGTTGTCGAATTGTATTATATTTTTTTTAAAACTACTCAACCAATTGTAGACCTCGCGTGCATTTTTACTTTTAATTCAATAGACAAGTTTTTTTACTATGAGCTATCTTGATTTATATACAAACATTTTTGGACCATACCTAAAGTTTTTTTTTAAAGCAGTCAATGTTGAAGTAAAACTTTTTTAGGCGTGACAGAGGTGTAAGTCAATACATTGGAAAAGCCAGTGTCCTGGAAGTCAGCCTCAAATTTATTATTAATAATTTAAAAAAATATATTTATATTTGTATAATAAATATTATTTTTAAAATATATGATTATTATTAATAATTTTATATTAAAGTTATCTATACTATTATATATTATAAAGAGGAAAGATTTTGTTATTTGCTTGTACCGAATAAACTCCAAAACTATGGGACCGATTTAGAGGAAATTTGGTAAGAAGATAGTTTGAGACCTTGGTAAGGACATAAGATAGTTTTTATTTCGGAAATCATCCCTTAAGGGGATGAAAAGGGGGATGAAAGTTTGTATGGGGAATCAAATAGAACAAAATAAATATTATTACTGATAATTTTTAGCGTTCAGATGTCCATAAACCAAATTCTTAGGTTTTACATATTAGTATACTCTTACATTGCAGTTTTTGTATTTTTTCTCAGAAATGAGATATTTTTCCGCGGTAAAAAGTATCCTATCTGTTGACCCGGATGATCAGCTATCACCATACCAAATTTCATTAAAATCCCTCCAGTGGTTTTTCTGTGATGCGGTAACAGACAGACAGACATACAAACATTCTAAAAACTATAGATTCGGACTCTGTATCGATAATAATGTTTATTCAATAAGATTTTCCAAAAAATATTTAATGTACAAATTCGGCTTATTTACAATTCTATTTTATGTATAGATTAGCCACATCACCAAAGAAGTGTTACTTCAACCGCGCGTAAAGATTCATTTAAAGATAAGAAAAATAAATAAGACATCATTTCTTTCATATAATATAGTTACGATGGAATCTACAAGGTGGTTAAGTATTACCCTGAGAAAGGCTTATCCGGATATCGTGTATGGAAGTACCTGCTCCGTAGAGATGACCCGAGCCCAGCGCCCTGGGAAGCGGGCGCCAAGCAATTCCCGATTGTGGTAAGAGAACATTGTTTTGTTATTAAATAGCTTAGATATTTTACTAGTAAATTCATATTTATAGGACCAGGATAAATAGGATGAATAAATCAATAATTAAACCTACAAATACTTGATGACTTTGACTGAAGCCCAAAATGACTGTAGCACTAGTGAATTTACCACAAATAAATATTGTAAAGTATAAGCAGCTTCAAAAGCTGATATCAGCAAGATTTTCAATTGCTAAATTATTATCGAGATGAACATCTCTACGTACTTTTTGTAATGAGAGCTTTCGTAAAGGTTTCGTAGGACGTCTGAAGTCCGCCAACTATGACTGGGACTCACCCTCACTTCGCTCGGGTTCATAGCCATAGCCATACGTAGCCTATAGCCTCCCCCAATGAAAGGGCTATCTAATGCAAAAAGAATTTTTAATTGATATTTTAATTAGAAAGATTTTTTACGCAGTAGGTTATCTCATTCCCACAGGAAAATCAGAAAAATTATGGAAATTATTATATTTTACGTTATAATACAACCTATAATATCTCATTATACCTATGTATATATCTATATATAGTCTATATATTCCATACTAACCGTTGAAACGTATCTAGTGATGGACCTACGCGTGAGTCGCGAATTATTATTATATTATTATTAATAACTAATGTAACTTATATAGCGCCATACAATACCTCTACACTTCAACTATAATTCCAGTACCCAGACGGCTATTTAGAGGCGGAAGCCGAAAAAAAGGCTCTAAAAGAGAAAAACACTAAAACCAAGACAACTAAGAAGAGAGCCTTACGGGAAAGTAATCAAACCTCTTCCGAATCTGAGACGTCGCCACCATTGAAGAAACGTAAAACACAGGATAAGAAGAAAGGTAAATAAGAAAAGACTAAATGGTATTTTAATACCCTATCTATACCTTTAAAATAGAAAATATTATGTTATATATCATATATTTTTTAATACTTCAGCTTATTTTTTGAACTACCAGGTAAAAGCAAATATAAAAAAAGAATGTCATAGAATTAAACTACTTTATTCATATAACTTTTCGAAGGCAAATGCTCAGTCCGCCAACCTGCACTTGACCAGTATGGTGGACTGTAGCCTGACCCCCTCGTATTGAAGGGAGGCTCACGCCCAGCTGTGGGGCGTTAAAAAAAGACTTCATTTAGGTTGTCTATTGTATTATAAACAATTTTTATCTCATTACAAGCGACTTACCCTCGCTTCGCTTGGGCGCGTCCCTACGTGCGTATTATAGTGTTATACTAAAAATAATATACATTATTAATTATATAAAATAGGACTTATACGTATTATTGTAGCTTCATTATTTTATTCTTTATGTTGTCATACTGATATAAAATACTTCTTTAAGTTTTCTGACGTTGTCATCTTGAGTGAAAAAAGGGCGGGAGCAGCGTTGTATTTTGTTTCATGACTTTTAAAATAATGCGTCCTGAGTCATTCCTTGTTGTAATGTCGTTTGAGGCGTTACTTTGACTCTGTATAAAATAATAAAAACTGTGTGCTGTTACACTGAATTTTACTTGGCCTACCTGACCTACTTCTGAGATAGACTCGTAATAATAGATAATAATAGTCATTGGCCAGTGTTAACCACGCAAATTTTAATTATTTTTCCAGTGAAATTTTCTGATGTTTAAGTAATTATTCTGTTATTCGAGGACAAAATTATAAAAAAGATAATGAATTTACACAGATACTTCAAAACCTACAGATGCAAAGAAAATTCCAAGCATGTTTACAAAGAGTCCTAGGAATAAGAAGGAAGATGTCAGCGGTCTTAGTGCAGAGGAGAAGGCGGCTATTGATGCTGACACTTTGAATGCTAAACTATGGGGAGAATGCGTATCAGTCTGTGAAAAGCAAGGAAAGAAGGTAATGTTATCCTTCCTTTTTTTTTTTAATTGACTGTCCCTGATTATAATGATGATGACTGCGAGTTCGTACAAAAATGACTGGTATGAAATTTTGGGAAAAAATAAAGAGCCTAGAAGATATTTTTCCGAGATAAGAAGTATAAAATTGAATTGTAGTAGTAGTTTTCTATAACTATAAAAAAATCAGGATGGATAAATCACAGTTCCCAACAAAATTTACAGAAAAATTATACGAACTCAATATGTATCTGGATTTATATATTTTTTTATTGAAGTAAAAATTCTTTAGGTCTGACAGAGGGGTAAGTCAATACTTTGGAAAAATGAGTGTCGTAGAATCAAATTTATTACTATTAATATATATATATATATATATATATATATATATATATATATATATATATATATATGTCGTGTTATCCATATACTACTTGTTACTCATCTTGTGCAGTGCTCAATACACAATTTAATCAGGGAAGTCACAATGTTATAAACTTGAAACGGTAATTCTAATGATTTAGAGCTAGCGGGTTCACAGTCACCGATCATCGACTTCCAACTACAATATCAATTATAACTCTTTATGATCAACCAACGTTACTAAGCCACGTATCTCCAAAGAATGTCGTGATGGCGTCTCGACCCCGCTCGAGACTAAATCTCTGCTCTAAATTCAAAATCTATTTAGAAGCAATAAAAGTGACTTTAAACAATAATAAGGTTTCATAACAGAAAAAGGTAACTAAATCCTCCTCCGTGTTATATATATATATATATAACTTATAAAAATGAATATTTATTACTAATAATTTTATAAAAATTATTATATTTTGATTTGTTTTAATGTAATTGCCATTTCTGCCACACCGCCAAAGAAGTTCTACTTCAACCGCTCGTCAAGATTACACGCACTCATTTTTTTGATATGTTTCATACAATTTTAGTTTGCACATGGATTGCACTATGTAAGAGTGGTCAAGTTTAGTTGAATGATAAATTCTCATAATTATTTAACGTGAATATTACAAAGTTATTCCTTTTTAACCCCCAACGCAAAAACGACGTCCCCCCCAACGTGCGTTCACCTTGTCGTGGTGGGGGGGCTCAGTAGTGCCCGGCAACCCAACCGGGCGCGAAGCCAAGAAACGCACAGGGAGGTGGCCCACTTCGGTGGGCGGTGGGAGGTGGCCCTCTTCGGAGGGCGGTGTACCATGCGGGTTGCTCCTGGTACTTCTCTGATAGCAGAGTGGACCTTGGAGCAACCCCGTGGTTGTTGTGGTCTGCTTCGGCAGACCTGCCGTCGGGGCGTCGTAGTTGAATGCGTAAGCGATCCTGCGACGCCCCATTAAGACGGGGGAAGGTTTTGTTGGGTTTTAGTGGGTAGTACTGGCTTTGCCGGTGAGTCCCACACCTCGTGCGTAAATGCATTTCCCAACGTTAAAAAAAAACGACGGGGTGTTGTAAGTTTGACGTGGCTGTATGTTTGTGCGTCTGTCTATGGCATCGTAGCTCCCGAACGGATGAACCATTTTATTTTGTTTTATTTTTGTTTGAAAGGTGAATTAGTCCGGAGAGGTCTAAGCTATGTTTGATGAAAGTAGGTTGGTGGTTGGAGATTTTTTTAAATTAATTTATAAATTGTGTTTGTATTCTATAGGAATTTATAGAGCACGTGACACAAGTGTTCCTGTGCATCATATGCCAAGAGGTGGCGGCCAGTCCAGTGACTACCACCTGCTTGCACAACTTTTGTATGGTATGTACTATC